TTGGTGAGAAGAACCAGTGTTGCTTTGCCCTGTCTGGTCATCTTCAGAGCCGGTTCTTATCCCACCAGCAATGAATAGTCTCCTTCCCTCTCTGTGGCCTTGTTCCTAGCGGTTCCCCAACCATAAGCGCAGCTGGCCCTAACCATAAACTTTGGTCCCAACCAATCAAATTGAAGGTCGGTAGAATGGCTTGTCTAGCTGGCAAATCAGGACTGACCATCTTTGTACTCCCATATGGCCCCTGCATGAACTAACTGAGGTTTTTGCCCTTACAGACTGACTCTGGAAAAGAGGTTGATGTCACAGGCTCCTGAGACCACTGTGTCCCTGACCATGGTCAGTCCTGGAGTTTGGGGTGTTGCGTTCAATAAACCATCCATATCTGAGATGGGAGTGTGGGTGTTTTGTGTGGCTCTTCTTAGACTACGACACAGTTTTCCCGACTTTTCCCTCTGAGCTCCTGCCTTCCCCCTATGGGTCCTGAATCTGAAGGCTCTCTCAGATCGTAGATCAAATTCTGCTAAAAATAAAATAAAATAAATCTTAAGTCTTTTTGTAGTTTACCTAATTCAGGATCACTGAGGAGCTTAAGGTTATGTTCTTTTGAAGGTATCTTTTTGCTTGCTTTTTCACATTTCTTATGTTTCTGTACCTGCTGGTTTTGTCTCTCTTCCAGTTGGGTTTTGTTGTTTGATTTTCTTTCTGCTTTTTGAGGCAGGGTCTCACTATATAGCCCTGGCTGGCCTGCCAACCCAGGGCAATCTAAGCAAGCTCACACGCCTTCTGTTTCCTCACTTCTGTCAAGTTGAGTTAGCAAAAGGGTTCATGTCCAGGTGGAGGGAACATGGCTGCCTGTTTCCTAGTCAGGGCCCCAATTACTCAAAAGAAGCACCGTTAAGGTTTGAAGGATCCAAGGTTTAGAGGATGAAAGGCCCCCAGTCTAAAGAAGGTCCAGTGTTCGTGACTTTCACTTGCCCTCAGTGGTACTTGATATAGCTAAGCGTTCTAGGAGCTTGAGGTTGCCCCCCCCCCCTCCACACCTCTTTTGACACCTTGTTGATAGAGACTGCCACAAAGGCCTCTCTTTCACTTCGGAGGCTAAGTGGAGGTCTGGTTGGGAATCGGCTCACATTTATTGAGCATCTGTTAGCATCATGTCTCGTGCTCTGCGCATGTGCACTCTAATCCGGCGTGTGGTCCTCACATCTCACCACACAGCTGTCTTTTCACACTGGAGCCCTCTGCACAGGTTCCTTTTCTCCAAAGCCACAGGTTGCTTTAAAGTAGGGACGGGGCTGGGTGAGGCAAGGGGAGAAGCTCTGCTTTGAGCCTTGGGCTTTAACACAAATCAGGGCTGGAGACACAGGGTAGAGCACTTGCTCAGCATGCACTGAGCTCTACCCCCAGCATTGTATAAACAGGGCACAGTGGTGCTCACGGGCAATGGGGAAGTGGAGGCCAGAGGATCGAGAGTTCAAAGCCATCCTCAGCCACACAGTGAGTCTGAGGCATGCCTGCGCAGCAAGAGTCCATCTCAGAAAAAAAAAAAAATCGTTAAGACAAGGGGAAGGTCTTTCTCTGCAATGCCCACATTAATGGGATTTAGTCCAAGCCCAGGAGAAACTATTATTTCTAGTTTCTTTATAAAACATTTCACCCCAGGGATAGTGGCACTGAAGAACCTGTAGGAAGGCTTGCTTTCCCACCTCTCAAGCCTGAAATCGGTTCAAGCCAGTCATCAGGGAAATCAGACTGACATCAGACACAGTATGAGAAGAGTAGAAAATGGCATGGGGGCTTGGCTAGAAATGGCTACTAGCTATTCCTAACACCAAGCCTTAATCAGTGCAGACATCCATGCCTATTGCCAAGGCCTCTGGAGTCACGGCAGCGTGAGAGAGACGCAAAGCAGCTTCACGGGAAAGCCAGGGAAGTGAGTGGAGTTTCATGGTATTTACCATACTCCTGTGTGCTGGACAAAGAATAATAGGAACAGGAACAAAGAAGCCTCCGTCCCAAGGCCTTATCTGATGAAAGACTGACTGTAGAGATTTTCTTAAGTAGCTGTTGACGTGGGAGCCCCGGTCCTTGTGGGAGGTGCCCCTGGACACATGGTCCTGGGTGCTATAAAACAGCAGGTTGAGCCATGAGGAGCAAACTGGTAAGTAGCACCCCTCCATGGCCTCTGCATCAGCAACAGCCAACAGGTTCCTGGCCTGACTTCCCTCAGTGAGGAAGTGTGAAGAAGTGTGACCTGAGAGTTGGAAGGTGAAATAACCTTTTCTTCCCCAGGAAGCTTTGGTCATGGAATTTTATCACAGCAATGGAAACCCTGATTAAGACAGAGAGACAGAAGCTTTGATGCTGATCAAATTTCCTCAGTCTCTCTCTCTAACACACACACACACACACACACACACACACACACACACACACACACACGAGCCAACACCACAAAGTAATAGTAAAAACCCGGGACATGAGTGACATCTAGTGGCAAAGACACACACTTTTTAAATATATATATATTTTTATATTTATATATATATTTAAAAAGAGGCTAGGTCAGACAGCCCCTGTTCCCATTACTAGGGCACCCACTTGGACACTAAACTGCCATGGGCTACATCTGTGCAGGGGTTCTAGGTTACCTCCATGCATGATCCTTGCTTGGAGTATCAGTCTCAGAAAAGAACTCTGCCCAGAATTTTTGGTTCTGTTGCTCTTCTTGTGGAGCTCCAGTCCCCTCCAGGTCTTTCTGTCTCCCCCTTCTTTCATAACAGATGGTAGGGAAGGAGGACCTCCCCTATCACTGGTTATCATTGGACTGGGGGGAGGGGCATAGGAGAAGAGGCAGGGAGGGGAGGACTGGGAGGGGATGGAGGGGACTACAGCTGGAATACAAAGTGAATAAACTGTAAATAAATAAATAAATAAATAAATAAATAAATAAATAAATAAAAAAGAGGCTAGGTGACTTTTATGATTCCTTAGTGGTTATTTTCTCAAAGAACTGGAATCAAGGTTTTAAAGAAACTGGCCAGGTGTACTTTAATTCCATCAGAGGCAGGTGGATCTCTGTGCACTATAGAACAATATGAGATCTTTCAACCTTCTTCCCCACTCAAGGTTCAGAAATCATGGATGACGAGGAGGCAGAATGTCTGAATTGCTTGCTGACTTTTCCACAGTGACAGACCTGGAGCATAAACTGAAATAAAGCCCTTCCTTCCAGAAACAAGGTTTGTTTCTACCAGGGTTTTTCCTTTTTAGAGAAAGCAACTTTGTTTTTAGATTTATTTTGTTTTTATGTAAATGAGTGTTTGCCTGCATATATGTGTGTGCCCTGTTCATGCCTGGTGTCCCCTGATGTCAGAAGAGGGTTCAGGTCCCCAGGAGTTGGGGTTACAGGTGGTTATGATCCATCTGATGTGGGTGCTGGGAACTGCTGGGCCATCTCTCCAACTTCATCTCTTAAAAAAAACCTAACTTCTTGGAAACTATCTAAATGCTGCTCAACTGACAAATGGATAATGGAAATGGGATACGCATATGCTAAGAAATACTATTCAGCTGCAAAGGAAAATAAAATCAATTTACAGGCAAATGGAACTAGAAAAGATTGTACTGAGTGAGGTAACCCAGACCCAAATGACAAATCTTCAGAAGTGAATACACACCCTAAAGTACCTTCAGAAACAAGAAAGTAGAAAAGGAAAGTGACTTGTGGGGAAATGGAAAAACAGGGGGTCTAGATGGGGGTAGCGAGATGGAGATAAATACAGGAGGGAAGTAAAACTAGAGTAAGGATGTCTGGGAAAGTAAGGAATCATACTATTAACTATCTACCTAAACTACTGATAATTCACAATAAGCCATAAATACTCCATGAATATACATTTATGCTTAAATTAAAATTTCCCACCTGGGCTGATGGCACTCCCTCCATGAGCCAAAGAACACCTAACAAAATCTCCAACACCAAACGTGAGAAGCCCTCTTTCGAGTTGTTGATCAGGGTTGTCCAAGAGTCCCAAAACATTACTGACTATAGCTATTGGCCTTGGTTGCCCCTCACAGGTGAAGGTCCGCATTTATTGCTGAAGACACCATGCACTTCAGACACAAGGCCCAAAGCCCTCTGAGTCGAAACTGACCGGCCAGCCTCCTCCCTGAGAACTAGCTTTCATGGTACCAGAAGGCACCATGCAGGCTCCAAAGGAGAAAGCAATCAAGTCTTTCTCAGCCATGAAGCTTATGAACCACAATGGCCAACATGGCAAGATAACCCTAAGGGTGCAGCGGTGGCACACATATTTTGGCAGTAACCGACAGCTGGTACTGGAAGCCTAGTGAACTACCTAAAGCTAGTGATGTCCTGGATCTTGAAGATCCACAGCCATTACTTTAGCAAGCATAACCCCCAACTACACTCTAGATTTTTGTCCTTATACCCACAGATGACTGTAGTTCTCGCCCTTCATCAAGGAAACTTCCTTTTTCAATAGAGACCATTACAGAAAACCAAAACCAATCATCTACAAAACAGCCCCACACCTCTAGCTCGGGGAACAGTGAGGAGAAAGGGCAGAATTGCAAGAGCCAAAGGAACAGAGTTTGGTATGAGATCGTGTCTCCTAATAATGTCAGAAAACAGACATATAAAGCCTCGGCAACACAACTGCCTAAACATTAGCTGAACGAGGACAACCACAGACACGGTAACATGGGTAGGAGAGACCCACACAAAGAACTAAGGGCAACTAAGAAATGCTGACACCAGGAGAAAGTCTTCTCCAAGGGAAGAGCCCTCCAATTGGTTATTCAATACCAGACAGTCAGCTCTGAAAACATACATGAGCGACATTACACAAACTGAGCAGGTTATGCTTATGACTGAGGGCAAACGGAGAGAGAGAAAGGGAGGGGGAGTAAGGGAGAGAGAGGTTTATAACAATAATAAAACAAGGGAGTCATGACTTTGAAAAGAACAAGGACAGGTGCTCACTTCGGCAGCACATACGCTAAAACTGGAACATTACAGAGATTAGCATGGCCCTTGTGCAAGGAAGACATGCAAATTCGTGACGCATTCCAAAAAAAAAAAAAAAAAAAAGCAAGGATGGTTATATGGGAGGCCCTGAAGGGAAAAGGGGAAGAAAAAAATGGTGTAATTATATTATAATCTCAAAATATAAAATTGGGGCAAGCCTGGCAGTTCATGTGTTTAATCTCAGTACTTGGAAGGCAGAGGCAGGAGGATCTCTGTGGGTTCAAAGCCAGCCTGGTCTACATAGTGATCCACAAAAGCCAGAGACATACGGTGAGACCCTGTCTCAATAATAACAATAATAATAACCTTTAAAATAATGGATTTCTTCACCACCTCCATGAGGATAGTTAGACAATTAGCAATGTCTAAGGCAGGGCTCTCAATCTGTGGGTTGCAACCTCTCTGGGGGTCACATATCAGATATCCTGCACACCAGATATTTATATTATGATTCATTAACAGTAGCAAAATTACAGTTATGAAGTAGTAACAAAATAACTTTATGGTTGGGGTCATTGCAACCTGAGGAACTGTATTAAAGGGCCACACCATTAGGAAGGTTGAGAACCACTAGAGATAACTTTTAGCTGATATCTCATTTCATATGAAATTTAAAAATTAATCATTTGTCATGTTTAAAGAACCTGTTATCCAATGTTTTTTTTCCTGTTTTATAATCCGCTGTTATTGTTTCATTCATGCATCTTATTTCCGCTCTCTGACCATATCTGCCCTTTTATTTTTACAGTTCATGATTTATGTGATGCTCAAATGTTCATTTATGAAGAAAGCCCCACAAGCCGGTTACTTGAGCTTGCTGAGTTCCAGGCCTGAGAGTCACTGCTTCCCATCTACATCTTTGTAAGGTGCCTGGATGAGGTAGAGTTCCCAAGGTTTGGGTTGTAGGTAAAGACCAATGACTGAGGCAGTGATTCTTAAGCCTCTGCTGCCTATCCCAGGGCAGTTCATTAAATACATCTTTAAAGGCCATGCGCATATATTTCCTTGAGAGAAACATTTATTTATGACCTTTATTGAACAGTTTCAAACAAATCCAGAGCAGGCTTCACATTTGAGTCTGACGCAGAGACACTAGTCATGCGGGAGTGAATACTATCCAGTGTGCTCCCTGATGTATGAGGATGAGGGCGCTCCGGCACAAGGCCGTGTGCGCACAGATCTGCTCAGAGACCTGCTTGAGACATGATTTAACCCACAGCAAGGTTTACTACAACAAAATGTGCTAAACAACTTCTAATTTCAAAACAAAGGACCCCAAGAATCAACTACCCCTTTAAATAAAAAAAATAATTTATATTCTTCTTAAAGTAATTCCAACAACTGAAAGTTCCAACTCCATGTGTGTATATATGTGTGTATATATACATGTATGTGTCTGTACATATAACTTAGGCATTCTGGCGCTCGATGCTTCTGCTCGTGCAGCAGCGGCAGGCTGGCAAGGCTCTACAGGGGCCTTTCTGAGAACGCAGTGTAGCTCCTCACTCTGGCGAAGAACAAGGGGGTGTACATCTTGTCGATCTCAAAAGCACTGACGGCGGTCTCACCAGTCGATCTGGAAACAGAGTACAAAAGCACCACAGTGAGGAGATCCCTGAACGATGTGTGCTGAGTCAAGTCCGAATACAGGAGGCACACTGCAAAACATTCAAGAGCTTCCTTCAGAAACCATTTTTATTGGCTGCATAACATAACCTCTACTGATAACTTGCTTATTCTTTTGGAAATGTAGGTTGTTTCTTAAACTTGGCAATTAGAATAATGTGCTATTCTTCATGATGACCTTCAGTATACTCCTAAGAGAATTCCCTTGGTAAAGACTACAATCTGCAGTCCTTGTGAAACTGTGTTAAACGAAATCCTACATTACAACAGAAAAATGGGTTAGTATTGGATCAATGGCAAATTTAAGCGTGTGCACATGAAGGGGGCCGCTAATTATGCTACCAACTGTGTTCTATATTCCCGAGGAGAAATCAACCAAAGCAAAAAATTAAGTGGCCTTTGACTATTACAAGATGTGCTCACAAGCAGCTACAATCAACACCTGTTCTAAAGTACTTTCCTTCTCAACAGCGATCCTCACTTCCTGCTGGGGCAAGCACAAACTGTGGCAACCATTAATTGACTTCCTTCTCATGGGTCTTACTCTGAGAAGTCGGAAAACATCTGCATCAGATCACAGACTGAATCAAGAAGGGAAAGACTGCAACGTGAAGGAGACACTGCCAGATGAGCACTGACGTCATTTAAAAGGTAGCCATGTGATGGAGAACCCTGTGTGGTCAAGACCACAGAGGAGACCGATGGAAGCCTGCTTCAAAACCTCCCTCTCAGAACTCTGGATTCTGCCTGCATGGAGAGCCCCAAAATGCCAGTCTCCTTTCAAGCTGCCACCTGCTAACTGGCAGTCATGTGACTGGGTATTTCCCTTCTCTGCTGTCTTCTAAACTTTTTCTTACTTCTGTACTACTCCTTTTTGATACTCTTAATTAATTACCTAATATGGAATAATCCCTTTAACACAGAATTAAGAGTTATACACAGGAATTATCCACCTAATACATTTGGCTTTGATTACATTGAGCACCATTTTAACAACATACTTTTGTAAGTATAATTTTAAAAATCATTCTATAATCCCTGAGAATCAACCAACAGAAACAAAGTGAAAATATTAACGGGTGATCTGCATTTAAAAAAAAAAAACCTTTGAAAGATTTGAAAGGTACCTACAGTATGTCAATGAATGAGCAATGCATGTACAGGCCGCAGAGAGCTCAGCTCTACTGACCAAATGTCCCCTCTTTTCTGAGCGGGTGTGAGCAGTCCTCTTTCTCACTCATGGTTGGTCTTTTGCACTTTCCTTTCTTACTGACGCTGGATAGCAATGTCCAGGGCTCATCTTCCTCACTCATGCTCAATCGTTACATCTTTTTTTCTTTTTGATTCATTGTATTTTCACACTGTGATTTTACTTTGTAAAAAGATACTGAAGACTTCCAAACTTATCAAGCTTCTCAAGATAGATATAAAGTCTTTTTTTAATTTTCTTTCAAAAGTATATATAGTTATTTTGCCTGCATATGTCTATATACCACATATAGGGTGTCCTATAAAGGCCAGAAGAAAGCATCAGATCCCCTGGGACTGGAGTTTTGACAGTTATAAGCTGCCATATGGGTGCTAAAAATAGAACCTGGGTCCTCTGGAACATCAGCAAGTGGCCTTAACTACAGAGCCAACTCTCCAGCCCCTAATCTTGGCATTCTATAGGGCATTCACTTACTTGTAAGTAATGTGACAAGAATGGTGGATCCAGATGAGTTTGTTGAACCTCTGGTGGCCACTGGAACACAGCTGCAGCCCCACGTGAAAATTGTGATCTGCTTCTTGCACGGGAACACGACGGAAATATCTGTATTTATAGTCAAGCGGCTTCTGTAAGAGAAAAGATCCCTGAGCTACGATAACCGTGTATAGGGATGAATGACATCAGAGTCAACGACCAATTACTAGATAGTTGCATATCGCAGGCCCTCTACAGTATGCCAATCTGTGAGTGCTCTGAGAGAGCAGTGAGTAAATGCAGGTTTGCTTCCCACCGTCGTGGTTACTTCATGTGTTGAATACATGGCTGAAGAGGATCTAGGGAAGTTAAACAAGTGAGCTAACATGACCTAGCAGTTTCAGAAATAGAACTTTTTATCTCTTAACCCAGTCATTTCCTTCTAGTAGGACATGGTTCCTTTAAAGTACTTTTTTTAAAGGACTGTACGGATGTCTTGGCAGCTCAGTGCACTGGCTACTCTTGCAGCAGACCTGGGTTTGAGTCTCCGCAGCAGCAGTTCACAACTGTCAGCTGCTCCAGTTCTAGGGGGTTAATGCCTTCTTCCAGCCTCTGTGGACAGCGGGCACACACGGTGCATGGATATGCACTCGAGGTATCCGTACATATACAACAAATACATTTTTAAAAATAAAACAACTTTTTTAAGGAAGAAAGAGATAAATTGGTGAACGTTACCAAAGAAAGCATAGAGTGAGGCATGCTGGCATAGCCTTTAATCCCAGTACTAGGCAAAAACAGGCAGGTATCACAGAGTTTGAGGACTGCTTAGTCTACACAGTGAGTTCCAGGCCAGTCAGGGTTACACAGTAAGACTTTATCTTTTATATATATGGTTATATATAAAGCATGCAGTACAACTCATGCTTTATAATAACAATAAAATAGTCCGTGAATAAACAGATGTGCTAGATTCATTCTAATCATACTTTTGTAAATTGTGAATTCTGTGTCTGGTTTCATCATAAAAGGATACTGACATGCCACATGGGAATTCCTAAGTACTTTGTATTAGAAAAAACAAACAAACTTTAGCCAAGCACAGTAGCACACACCAGCACTTGGAGGCAGAGGCAGGCAGATCTCTGTGAGTTCAAGGCCAGCCTGGTCTACAAGCAAATCCAGGACATCCAAGGATACACAGAGAAACTCTGTCTCAAAACAAACAATCAAACAAACAAAATTAATTTTGACATCAGGAAATTCATGGTCATCATCAAAGGAATTCTCTTCAGTTCCTCACACTGTTGTACCACAGCATTCCAGGCCTCTATTAAAGGAGGCAAGGAAGCTAGGGACAGGGGTCACAGGATGACTCCATGCCACTAGGACAAGAGAAGGATACCACAGGTGTGGACAATAGACAAGCACTTGCTTCAGTTACCTCCCAAGAGATATGACAGGTATACACTATGTCTTTTATCTAGGACTAGACAAAGCAATTTAAAGAAAGTTGCGAAAATATTAGTTCTTCAATCTGTCAAGAATTTAGAGCACCATAGACTATGATACGTATTTGTAATCATATTTGCTGGGCATTTTTTTTCTTTCTTCATAAAAACAGAAGCGAGAAGCCTTTTTCCAATAAAATGCTCTCTCTGCAAGTCTTCTGGCAAAAGAACAGCCCGTGCAAGCCACCCAGGCATCAGCAGGGCCCTGGTTAGCAGAGACAAGGGCAGTGAAGTGTTGGGGATCCTGGCACCACATTCCTATGGGAAGAGCCCTAGAACAGTTTTCTGGAAAGACAAACACACTGTTTCAGATAAAACTCCAGCTCTTCTGGCACAGGTCAACACGCAACGTCAGAGCATCCTGTTTCCTGAGAATGCATGCATGAATGGGCTGTGACACCAACAACAGCACCAGTTCCACCCTGCATACATACCTCTTCTTTTTTCTTAGTTATTACAGCAAATACTTTGGTCTGATTGTCTGCATCTTGTGACAAGCGATAATGACCCAGCAGAATTGCATCCGTTCTAAGAAATAATAAATACACCTTAAATCAACCACTCATACTTATTTGAGCAATCCAGGAAACTGAGTAACAACACCACTTACTCAACTTGCCTGCAAACAGTTACTAGCATGAGAATGAACTTTAATTCCAAAGCCCCAAACCTATTGCACAAATTATATAGGGAGAGGCTTCTAGAGACTGTTTTCCCCAGCCGATGCTTTTTAAGTCATACATCATTAAGCCAGAGAAGCACTGCCTTAGGTTAAACCTGAAAATGTGGACTGGCTGAAGGCTGTGTAAAAACGCTACCTGGTGTTCCTGGTTCTTAAACGGGGAACAATGGACGGAGGCTCCTCAGGGGTTGTCAACATCATCACATGGCCATCAGGAAAGAATCTTATGTATCTACATAGAAGAAACACACCCACACACATATATATAAAACATGCTCCGTTTGCGGTACTTACTTAGTCGTAGCTGTGAAACCCAGACTGAAATACCATCAGCAAAGCATTGATAAGACAGGTAATACAACGGGACAAAGTGTCAGTCTACAAAGGAGAACTAAGGCAGTCTACAATCCCCTTGGGGATCTGGTGACCTTTTCATTTCACTCACTGAATAAACATTAAATTTGTCTCCTTTATTAAAGTTCTGCGTTTTCCTATGGCACTAATTAACGTCCGACAAAACAGAAGCCCGATAATTAATACACAGTGACTAACACTACTCTCCTTACTTCTCATACACATGTGGTAAACACTACGGCTGGAAAAAGCCTTATATGTTATAACCAGGACAGAGAAAGGGTTCAGGAGTGTTACTAGGGCTTGGAAGGGGATTATAAAATTTATTTTAACCTTTTGGTTTTTGAGTGCGGTTGCTGTCATAATACTAGATAAAAACACTCAGGATCATTTTGTGGATAAATCCTTAGCAACAGAGAACAGACCAAATTAACTCAGGGACTGATACTTGAGAGAGAATTTTCCACTCACTCAGTTTACAACAGTTGTACCTGTAATATTCCACTTGGTGCCAGGCTCTATAGAAACCATCGAGAGACTGCTCTCCCTGGCGAATATATGTGGTTTTACTGATGTACACTCCTACAAAAAAAGAAAATCATGTTGAAAGTACATAAAGAAAATGTTATCCATAATCATATAAACACATCCTGCTTTATTTTTAGTGTTGTTTCTTTGAATTATGCTTATATGCAACTTACGTTCATTACAAAAGGTGAAAACTGTGTATTTTTTCAAAATTATCATTATAGATTATGATTTCTCCTGAGTTCTTGTGTTCCAGCTTACCATCAAACCGAACACGAGGCCGTTCTAAAAACATCTCTCTCCAGGATGAGTATGGGACAAGTTTGATGCAGCTTCTGCCCCACACTTTCAAGCAAGCCAGACGCCATATTTCAGGGTCTCTAGGAAAGAAAGCAGGTCATCAATAAATGTAAAAAGCTAAGCCCTAGAAGCAAATGAATATTTTTATTATTATGTATTTCTTTTTAATTCAACAATTATTTGTTGAACACCTGCAAGACACTGTTTTAAGGAATAGGCAGAGACTAGCAGCCAGTTCCCTGATGCTGGCAGAAGCCTTGGGCTTGTGTGGGCCTCACAGCCACTCAGCATTCTCAGATCATCAGGAGGCAACTGCCTCAGGCTTGACTCCCATGTGCATTTTTCCCAAGGGAATTTGGGAGGGTGTCCTTCACCCTGACTCTTGGCATTGCAGCCGCTGATACAGTCCCAGCTTCACCAGTGTCTGTCCACCAGGAAGGTAGAAGGTCCTATGTAGTGGGAGTTTTGGTTCCTTTAAAAACTTATGTAAACGTGTTTTTGTTTTAATCCCAGGTGTGGGATATGGGGGTGCTTTAGGCTGTCCACAGCAGCTGACTATTTGCTTCATTTGGGCCGTGAGAGGGGCATCATTCTGGATTAGAGGACAACCTTGCTATCCACTGAATTCAAGGCTATCCCAAACTACATAGCAAGACCTAGTCTCAAAATAACAAGTGCTAGATATACTTTTATAAAGAGTACTTACCTAGTACAAAAACAGAAGTAAGTATGTTTAATTTGATTATACAATATAAAATATACATATATTATATATATACATTCTATAGTATCATTAATAATTTATTTTACCTTTTTATGCATTAGCAAAGACAATTAATAAATTAAGGTGCATGCTTGTGGTAGTAGGACTTGGGAGGCTGACTCAGGATTGCTTTCCATTTGAGGTCAGCCTAGGCCACATAGATAGTACCAGCCTAGGCAGTACTACCTGGCCTCAAAATCCAAAACAAACCAACAAACAAACTCTTAGAAACAAACAAAAATGCCAACCAGTACTGTTCTCATCAGAACCGCCCTTCAGATACAAGGAAAAGAAACATGTTTTAAGAAAAACAAAGCTAATTCAAGTTTATCACCATCAGACCTGTAAAATACTAGAGGAAGTTTCCTAAGATGAAAGAAAATAGGATTTTCCTAAGAGGAGAGAAAATAAATAATACAAATTTCTCAAGTTTAAATAAAAATGTAAACTATAACATCAAGAATTCAAATACAGGAGCTAAAAGCACTTGCTGCTTTTGCGGAGGACCTGGGTTCAGTTCCAGTACCCCATGGCACCTCACAACTATCTATAACTCCAGTGCCAAAGAATCCAAGGTCTTCTTCTGACCTTTGCAGCCATTAGACACATATATGCACGTACTCTAAACATTAACACACATGAAATAAGTCTTAATTTTTTTTTGAAGTATTCAAATATAGGGAGAGTACAATCAAAGTGTGGAGGTGTGTGTGTGTCTGTCTGTGTGTGTACACGCATGTATAAGTTGTTATCAGCTGAAGGTAACTTTTTAAGATGATATTTGTAGCTTTCATGGTAAATGCAAGTACAAACCTACAATAAATCCACTAAAAATAAAAAGCAGGAAATAAAAACACACTACTAGGCAAAACCACCTCAGAACAAAAGAAGACCAGAGAGTGGGAAAGGGTCTCGAGCACAATGACAACATTAAATCCTCCCATATTCATAATTACCTTGAATACAGGAGGATTAACTTCCCAACTACAAGACAGAATGCCTGGACAGAGGATGGAGTCTGGCAAGTTGCCCTCTGACCCCCACCCATGTTGTGGTACCTGTACACCCACACACATACAAACACACAAACAAATAATGTAATAAAAATTGCTTTAAAAGCTCATGTTGAACTATCACCTCACTCTCGTTAGATTCTGAAATAACGGAAAAATGGCAAATGTTAGCAACTACGGGGAGAAAGGGACTCTATCTATGGGTAAGAACGTATACTAGTACAGCTACTACTGAGAATAGTACAGAGGCTCCACAAGACATCAAAAATGTAATTACCATATGATCTAGTAATCCTACTACTGGGTATACACCTTTTTGAAAAAGGATTTTTAAAGCATTTACTTTTATTTGTGTGTGTGTGTGCGTATGTGTGTGTATGTCAGTGCCCTCAGAAGACAGAGGAGGGCATCAGATCTCAGAACGAGAGTTACAAGCTGTTGTGAGCTGCATCCCACAGTGCAAATATATTTTAAAACATCACACTATAAACAATAAACACACAATATTTTTTTCTGTTGGTTAAAAAAAAAAATCTCTCTGATAGTTTACAGAGAAAATGGTCTATGGGTCCCCAAGTGGAAGCTAGACCTTGTAGGGATATCATTGAATTACTGAGACTAGAAGAAACAGTGGCTAAATCGAAACAGTAGCAGAAGAAGAGAAATGGATAACTGAAAATACATTTCAAAGATAGCACCAACAGAGTTTTTACTGTAAAAACAAGAGAGGCTGAGGAGGTGGCTCAGTGGTTGGTAAAGTGTGTGTCTCATTTAATTAAAAGGTCTGGAGTTGATTCTAGCCTCCACACAAATGCTAGGTGGGCACGGCTAGCACACACACACCCGACACACTCATCTCTGCAGAGACAGAGGAGGTCCACAGCAAGCTTTATGTTCTCAATATATAAGGTGGAAAATGATGGAGCAAGACTCCTTATTCAACTTCAGGCCTGTGAATGCGTGGACACAGTGTGCTGCTCTCTCTCTCTCAACACACACACACACACACACACACACACACACACACACCCCATATAAATGCAGAAAAGTAAATGAAAAGCTGTATTAAATTTAGTCATGGTTTTGATACAGCTCAAAATATTTTTAAATCCTGGATAAAAGACAGGTCTTCAACAGAGGCTGCTAGTCAAACTGGATAGCTACATGTAGAAGAATGAAGCTATACCCTTATTTCTCACCCTGTACAAAACTCAACTCCAAAGAGATCAAGGACTTCAATCAAGGAAGATCTGATACCCTGGATCTGATAGAAGAGAAAGTATGGAATGTACTTCAACTTATAGACATAGGAAAGGACTTTTTGAATATGACCAGCACAGTGCAAGGACTAAGACCAACAATTAAGGTATAGAGAGAAGGCTCAGCAGTTAAAAGCACCAGCTACTCTTCCAGAGGACCCATGTAGAGGAATTTTAATTCAGAACATGGCTGCTATAGGCTAGAAAGCACATCCAAAGACCTTCAAGGTCTATGGGATCTAGCTGCAATACAGACACACCTTTAATCCCAGGAGATAGAAGCAAGCAGATCTCCCAGTTCAGGGCTTGGAATAGAGCAAGATTCAGGTAAAGAAAAGCTTAGGTTTAAGCGTGGTGGAACATGCCTTTAATCCCAGCACTCAGGAGACAGAGGCACGCAGACCTCTGAGTTCTAGTCAGTGCTGTTCAAGAGTTAGGTTGGGTCAGTGAATTGAGAGGCAGTGTAGTGGAGTTGAGTTTGTGGAATTCAGAGGCGGTCTTTAACCCAGAGAGTTTTACAGAGAGAAGCTGGAGAGAACAGGTTAAACACAGGTGAAGACAGAATGAGCCAGAGAATGAGAAGGAGCCCGAAGATTAGAACAGATTGCTAGAGTTAGTATGAGGCTAAGCAGAGCTATTCAGTGAAAAACTGAGAGAAGCCAGAGTGAATCAGTCAGCTTAGAGAGAAGCTTGAGCCAGAACAGTTGAGTTGAACCAGCCAGCTGGAGTTCAGAAAGAACTAGAAAGGGTAAGCTTATTCAGGAGTAAGTCTCAGAGGCTGAAAACATTCTAGGCCTAGATTAGATTGTATGGAGGCTAGAAGCTTCCAGGACTAGGCCTAGGTTAGCAGATGCAGGCAGTAAGCTTCCAAGACAACAGTCACCACAGGCAAATAAAAGTTACGTTAACAGATCCACATTCAATTCCCAGCACCCACACGGCAGCTCACAACTTTCTGTAACTCCAGTTTCAAGGAATCTGACATCATCACACAGAAACAGACATGCAGGCAAAATACCAATGCACATGAAATTAAAAAAAAAAAAAAAAAAATATATATATATATATATATATATATATATATATAATGTTATTTTAAAAAAAGACCAACAATTGGTAAATTTGGCATAATGGAACTAAACAAAGAACACCATCATTCAAGTAAAGATGCAGCCTATAGAACAGAAAAAAAAATTCTTCACCAGTTATTTTTTATAATATTTTTATAAGCTTTATTTGTTATAATCTGACAAAAGAATTAGTATTTAGAATATAGAAACAACTCAAAAGATTAAACATCACGTAAACTAATCAAAAATTTGGGCAAGAGAGTAAACAAAGTTCTCAAAAGAAAGAGCCGCAAGTGTTCTGAACCACTAAGCCATTTCTCCAGCCCCAAATTTTCTTCTTTTAACAATTATTCATTTTATGGTGATATAGTAAGTTTCATTTCTGAAATTTTGCTTTCTTTATCAAACTGTCATTTCCTCCCATGTATAATTAACAGAATAATACTAATATAGTCACCAATTTCAAAGGATTGGCAGCAATCCAGTAAGTGTTTGATGGATATTTGTGCAACAGACTAAAAGAGAATTATCAAAAACCCAGGCTTTGAATAATTCAAATAGTTTATACAAAATAGTAGATTCTAAATGGAATCTACTAATTCTAAATTAGGAAATTTTTTTAAATAATGTATTTGAATTCTAAGAACTACAGTCATAAAAAAATTCTAGATGCTAAGAAGTAAGTATATGTTTTTATATAAGAAACCTATGGAGGATCAGATGCAAATGTTTACACATTGAGCTATGATTACTCTTCACACTGGCCCCCTTTTAAAGTATACAATAGTTACCTAAGGGGTCAAAGCAAAATTCCAGTAAATTAAATTTAAATCATCAACCCCTAATGGGTTTAGAGCCATTATACAGACATTGTATTTCTTCCTCATCAACTGGACTCCAGTGGGAGCTGTGAAGCAGCCAGTGTGACTGAACCTGCTTCACAGAGCTAGACCCTGGGGATCTAGCACATTCTGACCTTTAAATGCTGCGATTTGAGAAAAATCACATTAAGTTTTACAATTTTCTGTTTTAGCTTTCACTCTGAACATCAAGGTTTTTTTTTGGTTGTTCGTTTTTGTTTTGTTTTGTTTTGGATCAAAATTGACAGAAGGCCATCATTACCTTCTTCATCGCCTGAATCGTTTCTAAAGCAAGTACCTGGCACAGATATAGAATCCTCTGCACACAAGTGACAACTGCTCTAACGATCTGAGATCCAAGTCGCTTGATACCACCCATCGGAAGATGTACATCAGGACCTCCATAGGCAAAACTGCAACAGAAGACCATCGTCAGTGACTCCCTTATTCTTAGTGCATTTGTGCATCTGCAAAGCCTAGAAATCACAGCCTCGCAGGCTCAAACACACAGGCTGAGCGTACTAATTACCAGCAGTAAACAATGGCTCCTTTACCAGCACATGGGAATCTTCACTTCTTGGCATAGATTTGATGCCACCCAAGGTACCATTTTCCCCTGTATAATTATTTTATCACCAGGACAGTTTAAAATAAATGTGAAAAATAATGTCGTTCATGTGTTTAACACGAAAGCTATTTTTAGTTGAGAATACTGTGAACAGTCTTCCCATAAACAAGCAGTATTCACAGATGGACACGTGAACCTGTGAAGACTTAGTCTTCTCAGGGCACTGCATACTGTGGCTGACGTGCTCAGTGACACCAGTGTCCCTCCAGTTCCCAGTGGGCTTCCCTGAAAAGAGCACGGCATCCCGAACACCTGAATTAGCAGACCTGCTGTTTCAGATTCTGAAAAGCAGAGATTTATATCTGTAGTTATTTCTATTATAATTAGCCTGCCATTGAATCTGGAACTGGGGCATTAATTATCCACCTTCATGCCAAGCACCAGTGCTTCTGAGTGAACACAACAAAGAAGCCACACCTGAGATGTGAGTCTGACTGGTCTCCAGCTCAGGCTGACACAGCTTGAGCACAGACTCCTGAAGTGTGAGCTGCTGCTGGAAGTCTGACAGGAGATCTGCCACCTTGCTGTCGTCATCGTTGTCTTCAATGCTGGAACAAAGAGGGAGAAAGTAAACTGAACGCCTCAGGGTGTATGAGCATACAGGTTAAAAACTGTGTTTTCATAGCACCTTCAAAACTGCTTTAGAAAGACATTTAAAAAACCAACTTTCTAACTACTTTTAAAAGATGTGCTAATGTATACCCTGCCTTGTTGCAAAGTAGCATACCAAGTTTTTCAATCAAACATTTTGGTAATTATCCAAAGAATTAAGATTTTTAGGTTCAGATGCTGAGATTTAATTAATTTAATTGTAAAGATTTTATGAGTTAGTGAAAAAAATAAGTGATTTGAAAAATTTTCATAAGTTCTTTAGTGAATTTTTTTTCTTCTTGAAGGGGTGCTTGTCTGTATGAGTCTGTGCACTACACAGAGCCCTCGGAGACCAGAAGGCGGCATCAGGTCCCCTGGAACTGGTGTTACAGTTTTGAGCTGCCACATGGGTCCTGGGAATTGAACCCAGGTCCTCCGATAGAACAGCCAGTGCTCTTTACCACTGAGCCATCTCTCCAGCCTCTATTTAGTGATCTAATCACTTCTGACTGTATGAAAAAATTATATATACAGATGCCATATGAGTTTCTAAGTTTTCTAATAGAAACTGCCTTAATTTGCCACCCTACTCTAAAGAGTAAAATATCAAATTTGAGAAAGCTTAAGATCCACCAATCATCTACCAATATTTACAGGTGAGTAGTTACAAAGTTCTTTCTGCTTTCCATTTTTGAGGAAGTTAACCTGAAAGTTGATCAAAGTTACAAAAAGACTTGCATGAGGACAGAGTTAAGAAAACAGGAAGAACATTTCATAATACAGAAAATAGATATGGTTGGGCCTAGATAAATTCAATGGCTCATCTACCAAACCTTCAGCCAGGCAGTGGGGGCACACACCTTTAATCCCAGCACTCAAGACAGAGGCAGGCTGATCTCTGAGTTTGAAGCCAGCCTGATCTACAGTGAGAGTTCCAGGACAGCCAGGGATACAGAGAAACCCTGTGTCAACGAACAAACAAACAAACAAACAAACAAACAAAAAGATAAGTTCCCAAAACAACAAAAACCATACCAAATAAAAGCAAACATGCAAAGACTTGAACAGGAGTGAAAACTGTCACGAGAACCTCAGATCTGGTAACACAAGCCCAGCAGATCTAATACAAACTTGACAGATCTGGCAATATAAATTTGACTGATTCTGTACACAGCTCCCATAACATCTGGGTTTCTATGAACAAATACATTTTTTCTGAAAAGTGCCTAGCACAAACTTGTAAAACTGGCTAATATCCATGTCTAGGTAACTGAGCCCAAATGATTCATCTGAGTATGAACTACTTCATGCTAATGTGGTGAACAGTAGAGCTAAAAAGTTTAAATAGGCAATACTGACTTCACTGGATGGTTATAATATGGCTTATCCAATTCTTAAAAGTTGATTTTTCTGTGCTAAGAAACACTGGTGCTGGGAGAAGGAAGAGAGGCGGCAAGAAGGAGGAGGAAAAATGAACAAAAAGAACAGTCTTATTACAATACACACACAGACACCCCCCCCCCGAAAGGAAGCCTATCATTTTGTATGCTAACCTAAAAATATTAGAAACATAGGCAATAAGCATACATACTGAAAAATCTGAAAAATGCAAGTTAATTATTTCATGACAGCAAAAAATACAGTAGTGAATAACTCCTTAGCCAAAATGTATGTAATGGTTACCCACCGCTTAATGAGACAGCTCAGGCTGTCTCTCAATACATACAAGGACGCCAAACTGATTCTTCTGTGTCCACCTCCCAAGTGCTGGAATCAGAGGTGTGTGCCATCACACGCACTTTACCCTCAAACCCTGGGCTTTGCACATGCTAGGCAAGCCCTCTACTAACCGAGCCCTAGCCCTGGCCCTGCAGCGCCCATTTTAAACCTGCATTTCCTCTGGGGCACAAACACCCTTCTTGTTCATGCCATCAAGATGGGCTTTGGGGAAAAGTTAGGTCAAAACAATTTTATAACTGTCTTGAAAAAGAAAAAAAGCTTTGGCTTTGTAATACCCTCAGTCTTTTTTCAGTTTAAACGATCATGACTCTGGTGGAAATGCTGTCAGGTATGGTGAAACATGATTTCTCCCAATGCTTATGCTTTTAGGCAATGCTGTTATAGAGGTCAGGAAATGCTCATTCTAGATACATCAGGAGAAGGAAATCATTTTCCTAACAAGATGCCTTCTCTGAAATGTCAAAGACTGAAACACACAGAGACTAGCATAATGAAGTTCCATATCCCCCTCTCAACTTCAAGCATTACTGCCATTATTTGTCAACTAGCCTAACCACATTTTAGTACTTTCCACTTCGAAGAGATTTGAAATATATCTTCAATTTACTCTTAATAATCATCAATTTAATTTTACAAACTTTCATCTACTTAAAATGTAAATCTTAAAATTTCTCTAATTAAATAAGTACATATAAATACGGACACACTAAACACTACAGTAACAGAATAGGACCACCTTCTTGGCAGGTTAAGAGGCAAAATGGCAAAAGTGCTTAACTTATAGACTTTACGCATTACTGTCTGTCAAATTTTATACGCACTAGCTGTTTCCAACGCCATCACCATCTGGAGCCCGGGTATAAGTAATCTTGAACTCAATATCAGGTACAAGCTGCATAGCCCTACGGTAGAACTTGATGGCTAAAAGAAGAGAAAGCTAAATTAGCTATGGCCACTCATTTCTGTCACTTTGATTGCCCTTAACTATGGTTGGTAGACTTCTTTATGAACAGCTGAGTATTTCAAACATGCAACAGTAGCATACAGAGCTAACAAGTACAGGGACTTAAGATGTGGGGTTTTGTTTGTTGCTGTTTTGGGCTTTTTGTTTGTTTGTTTTTGGCAGGTTGGTTTTTCGAGACGGTTTCTCTGTGTAACCCTGGCTGTCCTGGAATTTGCTCTGTAGACCAGGCTGGCCTTGAACTCAGATCCACCTACCTCTGCCTCCAGAGTCCTAAGACTACAGGTGTGCACCACTCCTATCTTTTCACGAGTCCCATATTTTTTCTCACCCTCTATGACTCATGAGATGTGATTAGGTTTTTGTGGGGCTTCAAAAAACACAATTGTTATAGCCCAAAATAATTACTTGTGAATGAATTTTTCCTTGTGTCATGGAGTTGAAGAAAATAAAATGCTGGATATGATCAAGAGATGTGTATTCATCCTTCAAATCCAACTTCCTTTGGCCCAGTATGCCCTGATTCAGCCAAATAAACTTTAAATATTATTGCTTTTATTTTTTTTATTTCTACTTTTTAACATTATTTCTTTTCTTGGATTATAAACATAATCACAACATTTCTTCCTTCCAAACCCTCCTATGTATCCCTTCTTGCTCTGTTTCAAATTCCCTTTTTTAATTAATTGCTGTTACATGCATATATGTGCATGTAGATACATATATATATTCCTAAATATAACTTGCTCAGTATGCACACTGATACTTGTGTATGTTCTCAGGTCTGACCACTTGGTATTGGATAACCAAGTGCTGCGGTCTTCCCCGGGAGGACTTTTTCTTCTGCTCTCAGAATTTTTTGTGTTTCCTGTAGTTTTTTGTGTAGGGCTGAGGCCTCCTGGGCTTTCCCACAGTTTATTTTTATTTTATTTATGTGTAGGTGCCCATGGAGGACAGAAGAGGGTGTTGGGTGCCCTGGAGCTGGAGTGACAGGAAGCTGTGAGCAGCACCACTGAGCCATCTTCTAGACCTAAAAATTGTTAGTTTTGTTTGGTTTTCTTTGAGATAGGATCTTGTTTCCTTGTCTTCATTATATAGTACTCACTATGGCCTGGTACTAGGTATGTAGCTGATACTAGCCTCAAACTTGTGGTGATCTTCCTGCCTCAGCCCCCAAGGGCTGGGATTACAAGTATGCAGTACTATGTCCAGCTTAAATCCTGCTTTTCATAACTCTATGGGTAAGTGGTTTATAGCTGTGACACTTAGTCCATCTCTCCCAACTGGAATCTGGGGCTGTAGAAGCTATTAAGCTTTTTTTCTTTGGGATGAAGTTCTTTCAGTTTGTTATATTCTTTTTTGTTTTGTCAAGTTCATTCAGTTTGTTATATTCTTTTTTGTTTTTTTCTCTGTGTAACCCTGGCTGTCCTGCAGCTCACCCTGTTGACCAGGCTGACCTCAAAATCAGAGATCCACCTACCTGCCTCTGCCTCCAGAGTGCTAGGATTAAAGGTGTGCACCACCACCACCCAGCCAATTTGCTATATTCTTTCATGTTTCCACATCCTGAGTCTAGGACCATACCGTAAGTGCAGGTGGGAACCTCACACACTAATATAGACTGACACAAGAGACTTGACCAGAGACACTTAAAATGTGAATTAAAAACACCAGTAGAAGAAAGTTCCAAATAAGTACAGTAACTTCAAATGATGATATTTTCCATGTCGTTTCAAAGGACTTAATCTCAAACATTTTTTTTCATGCCTTTCAAACATTTCAATTACTATAACTGCTACCAAAAAAAAAAAAAAAAAAAAAAAAACTTACTATAGACTTAAGTAGTGCAATCACTGTGTTTATGTGTACATTATCTCCTCCACTCCTTGCTGGAGGCAGAACCTAGGTCATGCACAGGGCAGGCAAGGACTCCACCACTGGGCCACCTCCCCATTTCACTAACGCATTTTGGGTTTACAGAGACAGAAGTTGAAGCATCTGCGTTTGGTAAAACTAAAGTCAGGGTTAGAAAAAAGACCTATGTGTTCTCTGATTTCATCTTTTATCTCTCATGCATCTGAAATATTTTCACACATGAAAAGAACACAATATGATCTTTATTTTATTAATGAATAACTAATACAAAATTAAATAGAAAAGATGTATCTTACTCATCCTACAAACGTGATATTGCCCTGCAACATATTTTATAAACGAGTTATATACAGATTATTCATTTTAATTAATTAATTAATTTGTGAGAAGGGGGTCTTTACTGTGTAACCCTGGCTGGCCTGGATCTCATTATATAGACCGGGCTGGCCTCAAACCTGCAAGGAACTTCCAGCCTCAGGCATGCACTACTTAAAAAATAATTTCAAGTAGAAGGAGAATGTCCTATACCAAATAAATTCCAGTGCAAAAAAATACTGATTGCTAACAAAGAGCTGCAATTCAGAAGCGGAGTGTTTACCTTCATAGAGAGCTCCATTTTGTTCTTCTTCTACTGCTTTCAGAAAGAGTTCTCGAGCCTGTGAAATAAGAAGAAGAAAAAAAAGCCAAACTCTGAAAATCTGTATGGCAAGTGGACAAACCAGGTGTGGTGGCACAAGGCCACAATCCAAGCACCTGAGAGGCAGAGGCGACAGGATCCGGAGTTAAAAGTCATCCTTATATGAGGGTAGCCTGGGTTTCATGAAACCCTATACAAAAATAAGTAAATAAAAAAAAGTAAACTTGTAGTATAAAGATAGCATCCTCAAATGATACCATAGAAGCTGTACATCCAAAGCAAAATAATCGATTTTGGCCTAAGTCCCACAGCTTACATAAAAATAGCTCAAAATGAATTATGAATTCAAAAGCAAAATGCAAAACTGTAAAACTTCAGGGAAACTATATAAATCTTGGGCTCCTAGGTGGCTCTTCTGTGTGTATGACATAAAAGGACTCATACTCTGGGAAGCACCCGCTAGGGTGTGATGACAACGGACCCCATGCATGAGGAAGACAGAAACAAGAAATGGAAGCAGTAGGGCAAGCAGCTAGCATGGGGAGAACTTCCAGCATGAACACTACAAACTTTCCAGAATAAGGCAATGATTGATACAACATGAAACCATGTTTAGCTTAAAATGTAAGGAAAAAAAAAAAAGCCCAATTAAAGCTCCCAAAAAGCCAGGGGCCCAGTCATGAGTCAGGCGGCAAAAAGCATAAGGACGTGGGGGCAGGGAAATCACGGTAAGTTCTCGGCCACACTGGCATCCACAGTGAGCTCCAGGTCATCTACACTATAGAATGAGAACCTGTCTCAAAGAAAAAAAAATCCTTGGAAAAGGCAAGAACATTTACCTCTGCCTTTAGGACGCCTGCTGTACATTCCAGATAGCCATTTTTTTAGCCTAGGTGAGACTTGAGAGGTAACAAATGACAAACATCACATGAAGATGGCAGGCAAAAGGAAACTAAGCCTGTGTTAGTTACTGTGGTAAAATGTCATGACCGAGAAAACTTGTAAAACAAGGAGTTTATTTGGGCTCACGGTTTCAGGTTTGGGAGTTCACAAAGGATGCTGAAAGAGCAAGAGACTGAGGGCTTGTATCTTTAACAGCAAGCATGGAGCACACTTGAAATGGCCTGGCTCTTTAAAGTCTCAAAGCCCACCTCCAGTGACATACTTCCTCCAATAACACCCTTCCTAAGTCTCCCCACACCATGTCACCAGCGAGGGACCAAGCACCCAAATGCTGGAGACTATGGGGAACATTTCTCATTATATCACAACAAAGCCACAGTAATAATATGCCCCCAAACACTTAGGTAAACAGGAATACTTGTCATTCAAAATTTTTTCACATCAGAAAAACATTACTTTACTTTACAAACCACGTGTCTGTCATCAGAGTTGATTCATGCTAGTGAAAATCACTATGTGACCCAAACAAGAGCTAAGTTGATTTGCTAGAGCATTTCAGCACTTAACTTTTCCTCCTTTGCCAGTTCCTGCCTTCCTTTGGTGTCTGCAGCTGCTTTCAGGATGGAGCCTCTTCCTGCTCTGCAGGGCCGGGTTTCTGAATTACTGGAACCTACACCTGGGGTAAGTTCAAACATCCACTGAGCTCTGAACATCTGGAGCTGTGCCTGTCACAAGAGAGTGTTTGAGGACCCATCAGAAGAGGGCAATGCAACTCTGGAGTGACTCACCAATATGTCCGACATCTCTTTCAGTGTGCACTCTTGCAATTCTAAGACAGAAAACAGTCTCCCCACACCCTCTCTTAAACCAATACCTGATAAACATACTTTAAAAAGTCATTTTCTAAGGTAGGCAGATATCCGAGTTCGGGGCCAGCCTGGTCTACAGAGTAAGTTCCAGGACAGCCAGGGCTACACAGAGAAAAAAAAAACCAACCAAACAAAAAAATTATTTTCTGCTTAAAAGTTTAAAGAATAAACATCAACCAAAAGTTGAGACTGTCTACACAGTAAAAAGACTAAAAATACAAGAGAACTACATTTTAATTAGAATTGAAAATATAACCCGACTTAGGGGCTGAATTTATACGTTCCTGAGAAATTGTTAACAATGCACATCAGGTAGATATTACAAAGCTACGAAAAAGGTCTACAGGGCAGCCCAAATGCCTCTCTTTTAATAAACATTCTATAATTCAAAAACGGATATTGTTTTAAACACAGATCAGTTAAATATAAAACATGGAAAAAGTCATGCCCCCTATGTGGTGGACTGCTTTTAGAAAGAAAGTGTCTTTACTCCAACTTCTGAAAACAGCCGAGGCACCCCCACCTGGATAATGCCTCAGCAGTATCACACTGCCTTCTGGCTCCCCACTCAAGGACCTGGCTCTCGGGGCGGGCAGACCATCTGAGAACCCCCACGGGGCCAGCTCAGTCTATTAAGACTGCGGCAGCTAGGCTTCTTCCTCTCTGTCTCTCTTTCCCACTCTCCCTCCCAAGGCCTTGACCCGAGCTGTGTTTTTCAAAAAGCATCCTGAAGAATGATCTCTACTTCTCTGCTTTCCTCCCAAGGAACTCAAGCTGACATAGCTCTCCTGCAGAAGAGCACCAATGCTAGCAGAATCATGTGTATTATTTCTGGACATTTTAAATAACTTACGTTATTATCAACATTCTAAAAACAGTCTGTAGAGTGTTTTGTTGTCCACACTCTTCTAACATGTCTACATTCATGCCTGACCTGTACAATCTTTAGCTGCATTCACACCTACTGCATGACACGTACCAAATAAAAAAGTACTGTAAAGCTTATAAGTTCAATAATTAGCTTAATTACATTAATTTTTTAGTTTAATACATATATGATTTATCTCATCCTCAAAAATGGCTATAGTGTATTTCACTGTATGGTTCCATCATTTCTTAGAAAAATGATTTAGGTTATGTGATACTTTCCCATATAAGTAATGTTATGATAAACATCTCTGAACATGTAAATTTACTCATTTTCCCTGTTATTTCCTTAGATTTAATTTCTTGGAGAACTGCTATATCAAAAGGGAATGCACACTTTTAAGTTTTATCCACATTGCTGTGTACCCTCCAGAAAAATAATGGTCATTTATAACCTAAAATGTAATGTGTGTTTTCACAGTACAGACAAGAATGGACATTATTCAATAAATTATTAATTCATTGAGTTATGGTTAAATTATTAATGAGGCTTATTACCTCTTCAAATATTTAACAGCCATTTATATTTTTCCATTAACTGTCCGTTCACCTGTCTTGTGTTCCTCTAATTTATACACTGAGGACTCTAACCTTCTGCTCACATGGCAAGCAGTTATTCTAGCTATTTCTTTCAACTCCATGGTACTTTTTGTTATAAACAGGCTTTAAACATGGAAGTGACCAAACATCAAACTTGTTCATTAATAGTTGTGACTTTTGAGTCACGTTTACTTATCAGTTTGAATACTTTAAACCTACATTCTGGCGACCAAAGCAACAGTCCCATGGGTAAAAGTGGTTGCTGCCCTATGACCCAAGCTCTATCCCTGAGACCATGAGGTGGAAGAAAAGAAATGACTCCCACAAACTGTCCTCTGACCTCCCCACAGGCACTGTCACACACAGGCACATGTACACATACATGTACATACCAGTAAATAGATGCAATGTAAAAACTTTTACACTACATATTGAACTCCACAGCTGAAGCTATTGATATCTATTTTTATAGAAAAAAATGTGGTTTAAGTATGTTATAAAGTATATCAAAGTCCAAGCGAGGCAGTAGTGCACACCTTTAATCCCAGCACTTAGGAGGCAGAGGTAGGCAGATCCAGGTTCAAGGCCTGCCTGGTCTACAGAGAGAGTTCTAAGACAACCAGGGCTATGTCTCAAAAACAAAAACAAAGTAAACAAATAAACAAACAAAAGAATATGAAAGTCCAGCTAAATTCCATACAAATAAGAGCCAACATATGCTCCCAATTGTGACCAATTCCTACACAGGACAAGAATTCAATACAGAACTGAAGACACATGCCTGCAGGTCTTTCTCAGCAGGACTGTCATTTTCATCTTCACCCACTCTGACATCATCAGAATGACAATCTTCCTCTGCTTCTGCCTGGGGAGAACAAACCGGAATGGCATCAGAAGTTGGCAAACACTTTGTGATCTACTCAGCCAACTGTTAACTAGCACTATACCTTTGAGTCTGTGGAAACCCACTTTGAATATCAAGGCTGCACAGTGCATTAGGGACCTCACTATTTATTACCAAAGAAAGAAATGAGTCTGAAAAGCATATTCTCTGCTCCAAACCATAGTAGTGTCAACCTCACCGTGAATCTTAAAATCTTGTTCCTGAAGGTGTAACACCAGTTCCACTCATTCATCATGAGCCTAGAATTGGCTACCCGTAAATGTTTCTTCGGCCTCTTATTTCCCGTAAATTGTGCCTGGGCCTGGAAGAGGAAACTGAATGAAGTCTGGTGAGGTCTGCTGCCACTCTCTTTCTGAAGACCACCTCACAGATGATGTGTCCTGAAATGCTGTCAGTTAAGTCCTAGCACCAGCCTTCCAAACACAACTATTTCAGTCTAATTAAAGTTAAAAAAAATTTTTTTTTCAGAAGAAATTTACAAAGAAAAAGTTCAGCAAGTTATGGAGGCTGAGATGTTTCGTGTCAGTGTAGTACAATTCCTTATCTCTGGGTATCTACTTTGGTAAGTTTAAATGATACTAATAAAAGAAAATTTGTACTTTAACTTTCGTGATACTGTAGGGTGACTTCTGCACTTCCAGGTGACCCAGGCTGTTCCCTGCACCCACACAGTGGCACACAATCGCCTGTCTCCAGGTCCAAGGAATCCAACGTCCTCTTCTGGCCTCAGTGGTCATAGCATCTGAGCCAGGCATGGTATCACATATTTTTAATTTCTGCACTCAGGAAAGAAAGACAGGCAGAGCTCCATAAGTTTAGGGCCAGCCTGATCTACATAATAAGTTCCAGGCCAGTAAAGGAGAACAGTGAAACCTTGTCTTAGAAAAAAAGATAAAAAGAAGAAAAGAAGAAAGAAAAAAAGGAAGGACAAAAAGAAAGAGTAAAACAGCCTTTTCTTTTTCCCCCTTTTTTAAGTGCTGAGGAGTAGAGCCCAGAGCCTCACACACGGTCAGCGAGTACTCTACCACTAAGCCACTAAGCCACTGAGCCACTGAGCCACTGAGCCACTGAGCCACTGAGCCACTGAGCCACTGAGCCACTGAGCTATATCCCAAACCAACCAACCAACCAACTTCTTCTATTTTATCTCTACTGTAAACCCAATCTTTTACATTGGAGTGGCTTAAAGAGAACTGTAGCATGTAGCTTTGGGCTTAATAAATGTTTCAGTTTACTATTTCAATTGTCTACTCTTACTCTCAGTGAATTAAATAACTAAAATGAATCCTACTCCTCTGGAGAATGAAGTATTGCCTAATTGGGTCTGTTAGCTAATAACTTATCAGCAAGATGAGCTTGCTCAACACTTAACGTGACCAGTCCTACACAGAAATGTGGCAACGAAGGAAGTGACCCTGAAGGTTAGCGAGAAATAACAAACAAATCTTATTGCCTCTGGTCTCTACACACAAACATTCAGAAGGGTACACATACAGTTTCATTCGTACATGTGCTTGCAAACACAGGAAAACACAAAGACATACCACCCCCAAAAGAAAAGCCAAAAAAGCAATACCATCTAGTTCCAAAGACAGCAACTTTCATAACAGCAAAATGTGACTGCAAGTTATTTCCAGGAGAGAAAAAGTTTTATTGCCACAGATCTCTGAAGACCGCAACCAGACACACTTGCACCACATACAGGCTAGCATAAATAAGCTCTGCTTCCTTATCTCTAGCAACCAGACTCGAAGCGGGGGCCCTGGAAGACTTGACTAGTTGGTGCAGAGTGAAATGCCTGGTGCTCGGTAAACATTACCTCAGTGAAGACATAAATGAAAGGGGCATTTGTTCTAAGTCAGGATCTTGGGTTTGGATAAAGGCCTTGTACAGCTATCTCCCCAAAAGATCCATGTGTAAAGGTCCTCAGGTTGGCATTCCTGGATATCGAAAGAACCTGTTGGATCTGGCCTAATGGAAGTGCTTGGGTCACGGGGGGTGGGGGTGGGGGGGAGCATGTCCTTAAAACAGACTGAGGGACCCCTTTCTCCCGTCTTGGCTCATAGGGTGAACAGCTTCATCATGAGGTAAACAGCTGCTGCCACCATGTGCTTCTTCATCAGACGCTCAAAGCAATGGGATCACCTGGATCTCACCGCTGAGCTTCCAGAACCATGAGCCAGAAAGAACTCTTTATGAATGATCTCATGCATTTTGCTGCAATAAGAAACCGATCTACTAGGAAACACATGAGGGACTCTGAATCCTCTGTCTTTTTAAGAGCCTGATTTATCACTACACATCCTAAGCATGGCTAGTAAGAGAGGACCTGAGTCCCATAGAGGATCTTTTTAGCAAGACAGCCTTCCAGCTATTGTCTGGCAGTGAGACAAAGCCAGCCTGATCTCAAGCGCTTCTCCTGCTCTTTCAAGTTGGTGCTGTTCTATGTGCTGCTTACTCTCGACCTGGGTTGCATCTTCCTCACTTGGCTGCTCCTACTTATCTTCAAGATTGAGGGACTGCTTCATCTTAGCAGCATTTTTCAATCATCTTTTGTGTTACCTTAAATTTGTATTGAAATTATTTGTTTCCTTCAGTAGAATGTGTGTGCACTGAAGGTAGAGAACACATCTTGGTCATCTTTGGTACCTTTAGGATCAAACACACTGCATGTTTTTTTTTGGTAAAAAGTCATCCTTTGGTCCTTCCTTTGGTAAAAAGTTAAGTTTTTGTTGGTTGAAACAAGGTCTCATTCTGTATAGCCTACACTGGACTGAAACTATGTAGCCCAGGAGGAAGGGAATTTTAAGTGTGAGATACACTTTGATCTCTTTCTTTTCTTTGGAGAGATATCTTGTGGAGCTGAAGAGATGGCTCAGGAGTTGAGAATGTGCTAATTCTTTCCAGGGGCCCTGAGTTTGGTTCCCAGCACTGGTGCCCAGCAGCTTCAGGGGATCAGAATTCTCTGCTGGCCTCTGTGGGCACCTGTGCATATATGGCATATAGTCTTGGGGTTATTACTGCTGTGATGAAACACCATAACTAAAAGCAACTCGGGGAGAATTTGGCTTACACTTCCACATCACTGCTTATCAACAAAGGGAGTCAGGACAGGAATTCAAACAGGGTAGGTACCTAGAGCCAGGAACTGATGCAAAGGCCATAGAGGAATGCTGCATACTGGCTCGTTCAACCTGCTTTCTTACAGAACCCAGGACCACCAGCCCACCTACAATGGGCTGGGCCCTCCCCCACCAATCAAAAAAGGCTGAATGCAGAATGTCTATCTGAAGGATAAGAAAATGGGAAACCTGTAATAAAACAACACCTCTTTTCCCCTGAGTTTCTGTATTGTAACAGAATCCATTGTTAACTTTGATTCTGACAGTATGATATGGGAATTTTACTACGTTTGGTCGATTTCAATGCCACTTGAAATAAATAGGCTCTCAGGAAATCTTCCATAGTTGGAAATCACTCAAGCATCACTGTTTACTTAAGTAGTTTCTTCACAGAGAGCCTTAATTAAATATTGAGAAGGACTAAGGCTTCGTCCTGGTCAGGGGACTACTTTTGAAAGTTTAGAATAATAACGCCCAGTGCGGTTTCTTTGCGCCAGACTAGTTGCATAAAATAAGCCGTTTCAGACAGTTCACTTAAAAAAAAAAATGACAGCCACCTGAGTGTTCTCCCAGTCAGTCTTAATTCATTCAGCCCTAGTCGGGAGATTAGTTTCTTAGTCACTGCAGAGACTACATATTCCACGCACCAATCCCGTGAGACCTGAGCTGTCAGACAAGCAGCTTAGCGCAGCAATGCCCAGCAGAGGAGCGGCTTAGGTCCTCGCTGCCACGAAACTAGACCCGAGCCCTGCAAGCCCAGTCGCCAGGACTGCCTGCCCACATCCCACCCTGGCCGCTGAAGCCTCGGGGGCGTGCGCCCTCCACTCGGGGCTCCCCAAGATGCACAGATGACAGCCGCGGGCCTGGCCGTCAGAACACGAGCAATCAACAAGTGTCCCCGCTTGCCAGGGCCTCCCCCGCTCACCCGAGACCCGTTCCGACAGTCCCGGGCGGCCGAAGCCGGCCTTTCCTCGGCTGTCCGTCCAACCCTACTCTTGCCTCCCCGCCCCGACGGCCCGGCCCTCGCTGCCCTCCCTCCGCGGTTACCATGCTGGCGGGCGACCGGCCCGGTGCAGGGGCTCCCCGCGCCCGGCTCCCGGGGGGGTGGCGGCTGCCTGGTGTCTACTCCTGCCCGTCTGCTGCAGCGGGGCTTAGCAGAGTTCTCGGTCGGAGAAGCGCACCAGGCAGCGGCAGTAACTGCGAGCCCGGCGTACGGCAGCCATCTTCGCGGGACAGGGGGCCGGGGGCAGGCGCGCTGCGGCGGCCGGGGAGCAGAGCTGCGGAAGGGTCGCCGGTCACCAGCGGAGGCCGAGCCCCTGAGCGAGCACCCAGACGTCGGCCCAGCGGGAGACGATCTGAACGCAGCCGCGGCGGAGCTGCCTCCTCGGCTGCGGAAACTGCGCCGCCGCGCCGCGCCGCGCATGCGCGCTGCCGCCGCCGCCGCCGCCCGCCCGGCTCGCAGCCGCCCGTCGCGGGTTAGGCTCGCTGGGCCTACTGTGTGCAGCCGTCCAGTCTGCTGCCCAGCGTCCTTCCACCCGCCTGTTGCAGCCCGGGAACACCCAGACAGAAGGGAGCACGGGTTAGTTCAAAATGTTTGAACCTGAGTTGTAGAGCCCCTGAGTCGATCCTAACTGGACTCTAGGGACACAGTACTTTAGGCGCCCTGGGTACTGGCGTCCTGCCAGAATGCGGAGAGAAAGTGAAAACTCAACCGTCACTGCACCCCACAGACTCTGGACCGAAGAAAACATACGCTCATGTGTGCAGCCGGAGAGTGGTAACAGCCAACGCAAGGCACGTCGAACTACAGATCCCACAATACAACGGGGGAAGGACGCGCTTTTTCAAGGCCCGAAACCGACTTCTGAAGGGGAGGACGCAACGAGGCACGCTGGGACTTGTAGTCAACTGTTCCACGTTGAGCCGGAACTTAACCCACCCCACCCCCCAACCCGGTGCCACTTCTTAAAGCCCAAACATCCGATTCCACGTCAATAGAAGGCACTTGGATTGCACGTTTTAGAACTTTTTCACCCACAGGCGTATGCTAGCAAAACTTACAGGCTTCGTAGCCTTTGACAGACATTTAAACAACATTTATTGAGTTTTTGTAAGTGTCAGGACCTAACAGCCAGGACGCTACATTCTACCCGACTTCACAGAATTTAAATTTTTACTGTGCTACTTTATTCTGGAGCTCGTAAATGAAGTACGTCCTCGACAAAGAAATGGAGGTAAAAAAATGGGAAGGGATGCAACTTGATTACAGTAAGAAATTGCAAATCTCGTGTATGTTGTTTGATTGCTTGCTTAGTTAAATTAATTTGTAATCAACCGAGTCCAGTTAATGCTGCCTGCTGGAATATTACCTGGTCTTGTTGGCTTGATTTTGTAGAAATAATCGTAATCGCAGCGGGTTAATGAATGCAGCTGTCGGGTCGTGTCCAGAAGACAGTATTTGGGAGCGGTCCTCCCCATCCTCAGGCTCTTACGTTCTCTCCACCCCATCTTCTTTAGCGTTCCCGGAGCTGGGGGCTAGGAGTGGATGTATGTGTCCCCTTTTAGGGCTGAGCACTCAGTCACTTTTTCTCAGCAGGTTTTGTAAATAATGGAATCCACCCCTAGGTGGAGACTGTCCTTGTCTCCTCCCTTATGGATTAATCTTGTGGGCTAGGTCAGGGGCTTGGTTAGGGGACCACCCCTTAGAAAGGTGGGACCAATTTAAGATAATGTCATTTTCCTTCCCAGAATTCCCACCTCCAGTGCATTTCCTACAAGCCACCATGAGGTGTTCAGGCAGACCCAGGTTGGGAAAAAAAAATTTTTTTTTACACTAATGTCTTTTTCTTTAAGATTGTAACCAGAGCCCAAGAGTGCTTCTAAACTCTCTAACCTTGTTCTCTTTCCTTGTTACCTTTCCTGTCCGTTGGCTGCCTGTACCATACCTACTCATCTGCTTCCTTCTCTACTTCCTGGCACTTTCATGTCTTATAGCCTGCCAGTCCCAGATTTAAATTCTTACATTAATGAGACTAAGAACCCTGGGAGGAAACCTCATTTTCCTTGATATCCTATGATGGCTCTGCTGGGACACCCTGATTTATATATATAATTTTTTTTACCTGCTTTTCAGTTCCTTCCTTTAAAAGATTTAATTACTTTTATATGTGTGTGTGAGTGTGCACCTGGGTACGTTTATGTGTGTCACATCTGTGAGGGTTCTCAAGAAGGCCAGAAGGCATTGGCTCACTTGGAGCTGGAGTTACAGGTGATTAGGAGCCATTTCACCTAGATTCTGGGAAACCTACGTTGGAGCCCTGCAAGAGTAGTTAAGTGCACTTAACAGCCAAGCCATCTCTCCAACAACCTGCCCTTCAATTCTTTAATCAGCAAAAAGGAACCTGTCCCCGACTCCTAGACAGAATCCCTCTGACCAGCTTTTGAGTCTCTGCAGAAGCTTCTCTGCCGAAGGCTGAGTGAAACACTAGTCTCTGGGCATGAACAAACGTTCGGAAGGCAGTTTAATAACACGTCCATTTAGTAAAACAGTCATGGGTTTCCTCCACAGGCCCTGTAACCTCCTAATTTCTCCATAGGGCCATGGACTTTTGACAGGGTTTACTGTATCAGATACGAATTCCCTCCTGTGGAGCAGGTCTCAGAACCAATCAGAAAGCAGTTGATTTTCCCTGTAACCTTCATGCCACTGTTGGACCAGTGAGCACACCTCGCCCAAATCCTGTATTTTGGAACAGCCCTTTTCCATGGACGTTTTATTTGTACATTATTAGCTACCCATAAAAATAGCCTTTACAGTCAACGGAGGCCAATAACTCGGTAGTTTTTGTTGTTTTTAAAGGACACTCAAGAATTGGGTCTTTCACAAAAAACTTTTTCTCCCAATGACCCTTTAAAATTGGGTTTTAAAGCCGGGCGCGGTGGCATGCCGCTGCAATCCTAGTACTCACTGGTTTTTAGCATCTCACGTATTTAGAGGGTTATAATTTCCCGAGGGTCAGAACTACCGATCTAAGCTACTTAGAAACCCAGTGAACCTCTGACAAAAGTAGAGGAAGACAGTTCCTCTCTTTGCAAGGTAGGCTTGGCCTCAACCAGTAAATTTGAGTAAAACTTAAACATTTCGTTACTTTAAAGGTTGCCTCTTGTGAGCACCTGATGAGTTCTTGTGTTCACTGATGATGGTTTGTGATTTTCTCCTGCCATATGGCTTGGCTACCATTTAAGGAAGCAAGGCGGTAGATAAATGTTGGCAGAAGCCTAAGGGACCTGCAGCAAAAGGAATATGCCATTAGGGCTTTGGTAGTTTCAGGGGTCGGGAAAAACTGCCCTCAGTCTTTAGGATTCAGAAGTAAATAATGAAAGGGAAATGATAATGGTGGTGAGCTCTCATGCAGCCCACCGTGGCTCTGCACTCTTGCCCTTCTGCTTCCACCAGCGCAGTGTCACACGGCAGCAGGTCACTAACTTGCCAAGCACTAGCAGGCAGAGTTAAATTTAAAAAGGTAAAAGGGTTCCTGATACATTGGTTAAAACCGTGTTGTTTAGAACGGTGTGGCTCTCCAGACCTATAGCATCTGCCCCAGGAACTTCTGGTGTGGAGTCTAGCAATTTTTTCTTCACTAGCTTCTAGGGTACCTCTGTGGAGTGATGAAGTTCAGGGGCCTAGAGGTAATTTGTTTTTTTTCTAAAATGCTTCAGAGCCATCCCTCAGGATGATTTAAGGTGAGGCCTACAATTTTTCTTTATTTGTTTGTTTATTATTTGGGTTTTGAGACAGGGTCTCATTACATAGTTCAGGCTGTCCTAAAACTCACTGTGTATGTAGACCCAGCTGGCCTCGAACTCACATAGATTCACCTGCCTCTCCATCCCAAGTGCTGGGATTAAAGGTGTGCACCACCATACCCGTTTTACAATATAATTTATGATGTGAGTTTGTTCCAGTGATTCTCAACCTTCCAAATGCTGCGACCCTTTAATACAGTTACTCAGGTTGTGGTGACCCCAACCTTAAAATTATTTTCATTGCTACTTCATAACTGTAATTTTTGCTACTGTTATGAATCGCAATGTAAGTATCACTGTTCTCGGATGGTCTTCGGCCTCGTTTGACTCCCAACGAGGTCACAACCACGGGTTGAGAACCTCTGGAAACTGTTAAAATTTCCTACAGCTACACAGAAAGGAGAGTGAAGAGTGCATCTAAGGTTGGTTTCCCACGTGGGAAGATAGCCGTTCAGTCTCTCGAACTTAAGTTGCAATAATGCTGAAAGCATTTTTCTACTGTGATTAAATATAGACACCAAAATGCGTTGTTTTAAAACGTCGTGAGTGTGCAGTTCAATCGCATTGGTTGACATTCAGACAGGAAAACGTTTTCGGCAGGGCTCCTTTTCTTTGGGTATATTAGGTCAGCCAGCCTGGCCCCTGCGAGTCTGCAGCTCCTGGGTGGGCTCGCTGCGAGCCCGGTGCGGCCGGGAAGCTCAGCGCTGCCCCCTGCCGAGCATCTGGGAGAAGGACTCGGTGCAGGGCCGCGCGGGGCCAGCGAGGGGAGCTGCAGGGCAGCTTTTCCAGGGAAAGCGGCCGGTCGTCCCCACTGGAAGCCACTCCGCCTTTTGTTTGTTTTGCTGCCCGAGGCCGCGGTGCGGCGGGTTCCTGCTGGATGCCACGCGCTGTCGGGTGTGGACTCGCCGGGCTCGCCCGCTCGGATCCCACTGCCCCTGCCTGCCGGGCCCGCTCGGGTGCACGCGCCGCCGGGCTGCGATCGCCGCCAGTAAGTGAGGCTGGGGCTGGAGGGCTGCGCCGCGACCTGTCGCTGGGTGCTGGGCGGTACCGGCTGACCCGACCACTCACGGCCAGGAAGGCTAGGGACTGCGGCTTCCCTGTGGACCCCGCGGTCCTGCGGGTCTCGCCCCTTTGCCGAGAACACTCCCGAGCCCAGGACTCCTGGTGGGTGTGTTTACCTTTCAGTCTGAAGAATCGAGCATCCTAGCGGACTTGAAACCTTTTGCGGGTGGGGATGCGGGTGGGTGGGCGCTGACGACTTGGGCTTACCATCTGCCTAACTAGGCCCTTGACAGTCCCCAGGGGTCTGAGCAAGAATGCTCAACACCCTTCCTCGAAACCATTTCCCCCCACATTTCCTTATACTCTGATTTCTTCTTTCTTTCCACTCCAGCTAGATATTTAGAGGAAGATATTGTAAGATTTTGTTTTTTTGTTTTAGAACAACCGTTTGTTTTGTGGTGTTAACCTTTTAAAAGTTTTAAGTATCATTTATGGCTTGTACAGGGGGTAAAATTAATGCACTTTTCTGCAGAGGTATGTATTCATTTCCTCTTATTACTAAAGAGTAGCCTTTGCTAAGTCTGAGGAGATTCCACCCTGGATTTTGCACACCTGACTGGATCTCTAAGCTATTAAAACTGGTTTTTTTTTGTGGGGTTTTTCTTGAAGGAGGAGGTGTTGGTTTGTTTGTTTGTTTGTTTGTTTTTTAAATAATTTTGACCCCAGCACTCTTTGTAGTAAGAACAGTTTGATAGCAGTTTTATTTCACCCATTTCCTAGTTAGTCAGGGGTTTCAGGGTGTGCCTCAAATAATGAATGGTGCCCTTGCTTCATATAAAATGTAAAGGAGCTTTAAATCGGTGTACTGAACATGTAAGTTGTTTGAAAGATCTGTGCCTTGACTCTTTCCCTAACTGCTACAGTAGCTAATGTATGTATGCATAAATATGCACATCTGAAATAGTTTCTGAACAAAGCGCTACAATTTGGTAGGTTCCTTAAGGCCTCCTAAGGCCCTAGACTTTGTAGATCACTGGGAAGTCAGTAGAGCTGAGGGCACAGCTCGGAGTTTTTCATTTAAAATGACATCCTGTGTCAGCCCCTGCTCCGAGGGCAGCCTTACGGAAGCCCTGCACACTTTCTGCTGCTTCTCTTCCACTTTGCCTTATGCCTTTGCTCCGTCACACTGGAAACTGGGTGGGAAGAGGGCAGCCTCAGTTCTTAATGAGACCAGCCAGTTTTGATAATGGAGGAGTGAGCTGTAGGATCCATGGAGCTTGCCTGAGTAGGCAGGCTCCTGCCACCCTTGGCAAGGGAGCGGAGCATTTATACCAGTCACAAAGAAACCATTTTTCCTGCTGAAGTTTCTTCCCTATATGCCATGCATAATCTTTAACAGAATAAGGAGTTGGCCATCTGGAGTTTC